TTTTTTTTTTTTTTCTTTTTCTTTTTTCTTTTTCTTTTGGGCTTTTGACCCATTTTTTTCTTGGAGAGATTTGCTGCATGCTTTGCGGTACAGTGGGCCCGTCAACACGCGGGGCTCTTGTGCAGGTAATTCACAAATGTGAATTATGTAATGTGAATGAAAGTGTGATAGTATTTATATTGATTAGTTCAGCTCAGGCGTATTTATTAAGTTGACTTATTAACTACTCGCCCATTTTTCATACTTAGAAAAATAGTAAGTATTGTTTACGTTTGTGGACTTTTAGACCTACCAAAAAACCTATGAAATTTAAGTACATGAAAATCTCGTATGTAGGCTATTTCGTACTTTACGTGACTGAAAATCTTAAATTAGTGTTTTTTTTGGGTCAAATGCGCGTAGTCAAACTTAAAATTAGAAACCTCCAATAATTAAAAAATAATTAATTTAACTTTATTAAATTGATTTAGCAATAAATAATATGGTGGCAAAACCTGAATTGTTGATTTTAATATTATTACTAGTATATTTGTACAAATATAAATAAAGTATTATGAGTTATTTGTATTCATATAATGATTAATTATTTTTTTTTTTCCATCTTTTTGCTAGCCAAATTTACAATTAAAGGAGTTGGAATATATTTAAACTTTAAATTGCGTTTATCAGATTGGATGTAATGTATATTTTGGTATGCCTTTTTTGTGAATTATTTATTTATTATTTATTTAGAAATTTCAAACACGTTTTTTATTTAAAAAAATTAATTTAAATGTAACCGCAATAATAACATCTAATCACATTATACGGTTAACACATTATATGGTCAACTGTCAGTAATCAAAAGTTTAAAATTATTATTGTAATTTTGAATTGGTTAGTGTCGATTATTTAATAATTAAATGAAAGAATAAATATATCAAAAGTAACAATTTTTTGAGGAAAGATGGTTAAATTGCCACATAGGTAAAATTAAATAGGTTTTATTAAATGCTATTAACTAGTAATTATATATATCTATATATATTATAAAATGACGAAATTGTCTTGATTTTAATATTCTTATTAATGAAGTGCTGGTAGATATCCGGGGCAGGTTTGTCCTTTTTTCTGCATGCGGACAAACATCAATTAAAAGTTGGGTGATTATCTTGCTTTATACTTCACCTTGATTTAATTTTATAAAAAAAAAAAAAAAGATAAAATGTGATATTTGGTCAAACTTCTTAGGGTAGATTTGTCATTTTGCTGCTCTCCATGTGCAAGTAGCAGCATCGTGTACCAGGAGACACGGTGGAGCCGCAGTTGGGCCATATATATTCTCCACGTTACATATTAATACTGGGGGCCAAACCAATCAATAAATATTTGGAATTTATATTAATTCCAGTTCCTGACATTGAGGGGTGACTTGGCAATTATTAATTTATTAACGTGGGTGGTATCACGTGGTGTCAGAAAATTACAGCTATTTTCATGTTCATATGGTCCTAATCTATGTTGTTTCAATTTCTTTGTTTTGGGCTTCTTTGGATATAACTTGATAAAGACCACAGGTAATTAATACTAAATATTTTACAATGTTGGTTAATATTCATTATCTTCCCAAAGATAACCTTCAGTGTATGTGATCATGAATCAAGACATGTAAATCATATTTAACTATAAGCTTCACTTGTTACTGTTACAGTGAATGCAGATGAATGCATGCTGACAAGAATGCAAGAAATGTCGTTGGACTATCACTTTACGGTTGAGCAAGAAGTTGGTTCAGCCACTCATGCCTTTTTCGGGTTCAATGGTAAGTCATATTTTTTTATGAATGAAAACAGTTCAAGAGAAAAAAAAAAAAAGAAGCTTAATTAAACATTTGTCTCATGAATCCCTAGGGACGGGTGGGATATGGAGAATTGCGGCCATCAATGAGGCTGGCGGGTGGAAGGATAGAACAACAGTGGAGGACATGGATTTAGCCGTCCGAGCTGGTCTCAAGGGCTGGAAATTCTTATACCTGGGTGATCTCCAGGTGCATTTTTTAATTAACATTTGCCTAGTTAACCCAAATTCAGGATGGTATTTAAATTGTCACGTAAATTGATTCGCGGGAACTGAGCGTGTTTTTTTCTGGAAATTATAAATAGGTAAAAAGCGAGCTTCCAAGTACTTTCAAGGCCTTCCGGTTTCAGCAACATCGTTGGTCCTGTGGGCCTGCCAATTTATTCAGAAAAATGATGATGGAAATTGCTCTGAATAAGGTCTGGCCATACATCTAACAAACAACATAAGAGAAAATTTTTACTTGTCATTACTAATGTTTTTATGCTTATCATGATTTGATAAGTCGTTATGGCATGCTTTGTTATTTTTATGTTATTTTATTTTTGCAGAAAGTGTCGCTGTACAAGAAGTTTTACGTGATTTACAGCTTCTTCTTTGTGCGGAAGATCATCGCTCACATGTTCACTTTCTTCTTTTACTGTGTGGTTTTACCATTGACGATCCTTGTGCCCGAAGTGTATGTCCCTAAATGGGGAGCCATTTACATCCCTTGCATCATAACCACACTCAACTCGGTCGGGACTCCAAGGTAACAGAACTTGATAATAGAAATTGAACTACCCTGAATACATAAAAAAATTCTCATTAAATTTTATGTTGTTAATCCACATTTAGTAATTCAAATTGAATTGAGTTTCTGCAATTAGGCCAAACAAAGTTGAAAGTTATTTGAGTTACAAAGCCCCTTGAATTGATTGGTTTTTCGTTCAGGTCGTTCCATCTGTTGTTCTATTGGGTGCTTTTTGAGAATGTCATGTCTTTCCACCGGACCAAGGCCACGATTATTGGCCTTCTGGAGGCTAAGAGAGTCAACGAATGGGTTGTCACTGAAAAACTCGGAGATGCTCTCAAGAATAAATCCAACTCCAAATCAAACAAGCCCAAGATTTCCCTATCCAAGCTACTTGGAGACAGGTAAACAAATAAAAATTAAAAGCAGAAACCGTATGCATGAATAATGTATCTTATAGATGGCAAAAGTGGAGAAAATTGCACCAATCAACTCACAATATTCGTGCCCTTTTATATTTTGCAGAATACAGCTGCACGAGCTGGGCTTTGCAGTATTTCTATTTGTGTGCGGGTGCTATGACTTCCTTTATGGAAAGAACAATTATTTCATTTATCTCTTTCTTCAAGTAATCACATTCACGATCGCTGGATTTGGTTATGTTGGCACAATAGTCCCTAGCTCTTAAGC